ACTGGAAGCTGGTTCCACAGAAGAGGGGCCTGAAAACTGAAGGCTCTGCCTCCCATTCTACTTTTAAATACTCTAGGAACAACAAGTAGGCCTGCAGTGCGAGAGCGAAGTGCTCTAATAGGGTGATATGGTACTTATGGTAGATAAGATGGGGCCTGATTATTTAAGACCTTGTATGTGAGGAGCAGGATTTTGAATTCTGGATTTAACAGGAAGCCAATGAAGGGAAGCGAAAACAGGAGAAATATGCTCCCTCTTTCTAGTCCCTGTCAAGACTCTTGCTGCAGCATTTTGGATTAGCTGAAGGCTTCTCAGCGAGTTTTTAGGACATCTTGATAATAATGAATTACAGTAGTCCAGTCCAGTCTTAAATTAGGTCCAATTTTAGACCTAATTTAAGAAAAATGAAACCACAAAGGCAACTTCATAACTAATTTTATTGTAAGACACAGTCATTGTGCAATGTAAATAGAAATTGGCCTATACAATGTATCCACAAGTAATTGTTATGATGTATTATGTTTATATCATACAGTCATAGGTTTGCTTACTATTTATTTACTACAAATAAGTCAGTTTTATAAGAATCCACACTGCACTGAACAAAGTATGCACAGAAGAATTTATGACTGTATCACTCATTGTATCATATTCATCACTGTCCAAATATATTTATAGATCACAGTGTAAAAAAATGATGTAGGGTTTGTGGAGACGGTTCAAAGTTCAAACTCCCAGACCAGCTGGGGAATTTCTAGACAAGATGCAGAAAAGATGACTTACCACTACTCCCTGTGAGGCTGCATCCCGCTCACAAATATACAAATTAAATACATTCTTTGTTGAACATACTGCAAAGAAACTATATAATACAGTATATTACATTCAATATTTTCCCAAAATTATTTTATGTGACAGAGAAAACACACAAGGACAAAACAAAACCCCCCAAACAAACAGCAAAACACAAAATGAACTATAACGTATCACTCTTGAAAACTGGAGGACATTTTTATTACAATACAATACGAAACATGAACATTTCCCCTAAAGAGCACTGAACCTGGCATTTGCAATTGACAAAAGAATGAATGCAACTTGTGGTCATCGTGATACCAAAGTTTTGGGTGGTACATTATTATCAACAAAATGGCAAATTTTACAGTAAGAAATGTATCAAACACGTATTTATAAAACTATATGACAATGTTATTACAGCATTTGCATTACAGTCAGCTGCCACAATATACTCAGTAAATTTTGCAGGAAACCACTGGCTACAGTAAACATGTAATAGCTATAACTAAACACACAAACATTCATACATTACCCATGAAACAATAAAGCTTCTTGTAGACAATGAATAAACAATAGCAAATTGTATTATTTATTAAATAGAATGCTTTGAAATGACTGGAATTGACAATTTCAGAATGCATTATTGTCAGTCAACAAAAATACTTGATTACAATTTGCAACACTAAAGGAAACTTGCGCAGATATCTCTAGCTAGTTTTAAATTCTGCGTAAGGGGAGCTGTGCCGTTATTTTAAGAAGAGCTTTAAGCATGCCAGTCTGCCGTAGCTACAGGAAAGAAAATGATTAGCAGCCAATCTAGAGATATATATAATGGCTCCTAGACGCAAAGAAAATTTTTGTTGCTGCACTTGGACCGCCCTTGAGCAATCATCTTTAGCAGGAAATATGCACAAGTTCAAATCACAGATCTATTGCAAGTTTTAAGTTGCACACTTGAAAATGCATGCTCACAGGCCAACACCACAGCAATGTTAACGCCTAACGTTAGGCTTTATTTAGGCACAGTGGTGCTTTTTGTCTTAAATGCATCATGTCAACATGCTAACTTGCTAACAATATGATGTGCGATGTTTGATTAAGAAAAAAAAAGGCAATTTGGCAGTAGTGCTGGAGAATCACAATATTAGTATTCTCAGCCTCAGTGCCAGTGTCCACATCACAGCTTCACAGAATTGTGCTCCCACACCTCACACTTAGGCTGTCTCCCTGGCAAATCATGTCTTCCAGAAATAGTCATAAGAGTTAACACAGAATGTGCTAGAGACAATAGAGATTATTGCTTTTGATTTTGAATTTTTATTGTTGTAAAATACCTTTTTAAGAGGGACAGACACCTTCAGCTACTTTACAGCACGTGTCATTTTGATTTCACACATGAAACAAGCAGCAGTAGAACATTTCTCAATCTGCACAATTGATTTAGAAAAGATTTTACACTTGACGCTATTTCTGATGAAACCCTAGGAGCACACAGGCTTATAGCCTCCCTGTGGAACTGCTGTGATGTACTAACAAAAAATAAGAGGTTGAGCTAGAGTTTCAGAGTTAAAGATGTAGAGTCTTTAATTTTGGATGGACGGGGCTAGAAATGAGTACATTGAAGGGACGGGTCAAGCTAAGAGTTTTGGAGACCAAGATAGAGAGGCAAGGCAGAGTAGAAATAGTGAATATGTTGAACAGTATGAAGTATGAAGCTACTAGGGAGGAACAAAAGAGGAAGTCCACTCCACAGAGGAGTTTCATGGATGTACTGGATGAGGAAGGATGAGGTTGGTGTGACAGAGGACAGTGTAATAGGAGGCAGATGATTCACTGCGGTGGCCTCTGTTTAAATAAATATGCAGTTTTTGTCTAAAGGAAAGTGCAAATAATTATTTTAGGTCTGTAGCTCCATTTGTTCCTGTTCATTGTGAGCTATCTTGCAAATACTTCCAGATGCAGCCTTGGTGGGATTGCAGCCACGTTTTCGACAATGGGATTAGCATGAAGGCTCTGCTTTGCCTTAAAGGAATTATCCATAGTTAACAACATACAGTTATGCTCCACAAGGTTTCCAGGGGTACAAGGAAGCATAAAAAACTAAACAAACAGAACAAGTACTCCAATAAAAGTAGCTTATTGTTGTCGCATTTCTCTATCTTGAGCCACTGTGAGCTAAGATTCCTAATCAGCAGCATATTTCTTCTAGAAGCAAGTGTTGTGCCATCCTGGCAGCAATCCTGAAAAGTCCAGGACTTAGTGGGGGCAGTTATTTTGGAACATGTGAATTCAGTTTGTGATGTCAGTGAAACCTTTTCTGTTTATTTACGTTTAGGGTGGACACCAGTATTGTCCTCTGAACACATCAATGGCTGTACATAACCCATTTCTCACTCTGAGTGATGTACCAATAAACTGGAGCCTTGACCAAGAAACATTGGCAGCCTCCAACCCATGATGTAACTGTAATGATATAAATACAAATAACCCCAAACAAAACCAAGCAGTCCAGGGTTTTATTTTGCTTGTAGATTTAAAATGGCATAACTGCAGCACAGATACGTGCTTCTTTATATCAGAAAGTAGAAGTTTAGTGAGTTGTTTTTGTCTCTATTTCATCTTATTTTGACCTGATCAATCTCATTTCCAGCTTTCTGACTGTTACAAGCTTAACTTGTTAATGCAAACCTGAAAGGTTTGCTTCAAGCAAGCAAGCAAGCAAGCAATTTATATAGCACTTCCAGACAACTCCCAGCTGAAAACAAAGTGTCGTACACCTAACATGAAAAACGAAAAGCACATTAAAATAAATTAAATAAAAACAATAAAATCAGCACCTTAGATCGAATTAAAGCAGTAAAACCAGGGTCAAACTGTGTCAAAAGCCAATGAATAAAAATATAGGCAACTCTTCAGTTCATACAATAACAAATACCAAATCTCTCAGCGACTAAGTGTAAAATCACAATCACTGTGGTATAAGTGAGGGCATGTACAGAATGACATTGGGGATTTCTCTTTATTTTGATGGCACATCCCAGGGAAAAAGACACTGGGACACATAATAATGAGGAGCTGACTAAACCTAAGAACAGTGTGTGAGTGTGACAGACTCATGGGGACCCAGCTAGTTTTATATATATCATACACGTATGGGGACTATCAAATTCACATTGCATCACAAACCACTCATCGCTGCATGAGTGGCCTACTTGAGCCAAGAAAATAACAAAAGGACTGCAACACTCAGTGAATATGCTTGGAATACTCATCTCCTGTTTCATCTGAGCAAAACAAGGATGCAGGTTTATTTTCATCTCATTTATTTGCAGTCCAACAGATGCTCATCACAAGAGATGGCTCAAAGGTGGATGCAACTCTGAAAAAACTTGTGGAGTATGCAGTATCTTTCTTAGTTGTCACTGGCACCTTAGACCTGAAGGGAAAAGGTATCGAGACACATAATAACAATGACCTAGCTACACTTTAGAAATGTGTGGCATGCCAATGGGTCTTAACCAAGATAAATCTTGAACGAGGCAGATAGTAAGCAATGTAATAAATGTGACCAACTGCAATTCTAAGCGCAGCAGCATCAAGCAGTGTGGACATAATGTGACAGACATATACTGTACTATACTGTATGTATAGTTCCTTATCTTTTCACCCCCCCAATAAAAAAAATAATTTGCTTTAGGGAAAGAAAAGTGCTATAAGCTTTTATTACTCCAAGGACACAATCAGGATAACTAATGTGTTAAAATATCTCTCTGTTCTTTCCAGATTTCCGGAAGCTAAAGTTTGTAAATAGTTTTTAATAAAAGTTTTAATAATTTCCAGCTGGGCATATTTTTTTTGAATGGCAGAGAGCTGTTGTAGCCATAGAGATGACAAATAAGTGTATACAGGTAAGCTGGTGACAGTTATTTGTTTATAAATGTCAATTAGTGTACCAATGGAAATGAGATATAGCAAGCCTTTTATTCTAATAGTCGTGCAATACTGTTTTTTTGTCTTAACAGTCTCTTTTGTTGTGGAGTTCCTGACAATAAAAATCACTGCTGAGCAACTGTGAGGAAAGTAAAATAGTAAGTAAAGTTTTTTTTCTGCCAAATGCGCACTGGTTCAGTAGATACTCACCTACATATTTAAAAAAAAAAAAAAAGCCACCCTAGTCAAACAATTGGATCTCAATGGCCCTGAGCGGCTGAAATCCCAAGCCCATTCTTTTCCTTAATGTCATCCTGTGCATTTCCTGATTCTCTCAACTACCCTTGTTTGGGATGTTACGAATATGTCACATAATTTAATCAAATTAAATAATAAAAATAAAGTCAAATTCAAATGGGTGGCGGTAGCTCAGTGGGTAGAGCAGGTCGCCTATTGATTGGAAGGTTGGTGGTTCAATCCCTGGCTCTTCCAGTCTGCATGCCAAGTATCAATTGCCCAAGTTGCTCTCCAATGCATCTGTCGGAGTGTGAATGTAGTTAGAAAGCACTCAGTTTAGAGAAAGTGCTTGTAGATTGGTTGAATGTGTCATGTTGTATAGAGTGCTTTGAGTACTCTGGGAGAGTAGAAAAGTGCTATATAAGAATCAGTCAAATACTATTATCTAAGATTTATGCCTGTCTAACTGTACCAATCACCCCCTTGTTTTTCCAGCCTCTGCCACTAGGTCATAATTATGAGGCCCTTCATTGCCCTATCTATTAATATCCTAAATGTTTATACTCTTTTTAATCCTATGGAATATTCAATGTGTCTCACCCATTGAAAAGAGCTTCAGTCAAGTCATTGATGGGAATCATTCAGTTTGCATATTAATCCATTGTTATTATCATTATTAGCTTTTTGTCACTGATAACAGATTCTGTTCCCCAGATTTTACTTGCCTGGCTTTAACAGGATTCATAGGGAGCATGTTTTCTTAATTTAAGAAATTATTTTATGAAGTATGTCCCCCTATCTGCTGTGATGGCTGTTACCGTTGCTGGTCATGCACACATGCACTGTTACATTTTGAGGGAAAAAGACAAAAAATAAAAAAAAAAAAAAAATACCAGAACTAATCCTTTTAAACTGCAAAGAATGTAGACACTAACAAGTGACTAAACTGAGGGTAAATATGAACTGCTGAGATGAACGAACTTAAATGAAATTGAGTTTACTGAGGTGAGGTTTTGTTGACAATACAAACATGTACATGTACCTCTACCATTAGACAGTTACATAAGTTAATTTGTTTGTGTGCCTGTGTGAATGTGTGTATGTGGTGGTGTTTCAGTCTTAGAACATACTGACAGCACTGTATGTTGTGTTTCCTGCTTTCTGGTTGATGCTTTAATGTCATTGTACCCCTCATTAGTATTTTCCACAGGCGTGAGCTTGGGCTTTGTGCCATTTGCTTCAAATTCCTGCCCCACGCTGACACTATGGCTGTTTTCCTGCAGGGGCCACATTTCCTGCCAAGTGAGCGATGGATGATGAGCTGGGTGTCTGCTAAGGAGGGGCCTCCTCTGCCTGTAGTTAGCCCACACCTGCACAATAGTCTCTTTGAAAGGCCGTGTTGTTAGTGTGTAAAGGATGGGGTTAAGTGCGCTGTTGATGGGGAGAATAAATATGACCACCCAGGAGCTGATGGTACCTGTCAGAGAACAGAGAAAGAAATACAATTACAGTGTTAATTACTTAGTCTGTCTAGATTGTTACATTTAACAACTACTGACATCACAAATTAAAAATGATATACAAATAGTATCCTTAACCTCAAAATAAATTGTCATCATGCATAATCTAATGCATAATGGAATTCTTATGCAGTAGTAAAACTTATGGGAAACACTTTAAGAAAACACAGAATGAATCCATATTGGGAGCACTTTGCTCCGTTTGACCTTAAAAGGCAGGACTTTACAACCTGATGCTTTGCAAGAGAATGTATCCAGCTCTGATTCACTGTAATCAATTTCAAAAATCATCTAAAACACATCACGTGGCATTTAAATGTATTCTTAACCCACTTCTCCCCCCAAAAAACCAGTTACTTCATCACACACAAATCAGCAACACATTATCACTTTCTTTTGCCAAAGACGTGTGATTACAAACTGCTAATGACCTGGTCAATGATGATGTCACAAAAAAAAAATCAAATGAATAATGAATAATAAAATGAAGCCTGTCATGAATAATCTTAAAGCAAAAATCAGTAAAACAGTAGGATATAAAAAAAAAAAAGTCATTAAAAATAATAAAATCTATACACAGGTAATCAGTCACATCCATCATCGTATCCATGTGGCATTAGTTAAAAGTCTAGCAGCTACATTCTGCTGAACCCTTATAAAGACCTGCCTGCATTCATCAAATCATCTGCTTCTTTTAGTGAGTTGCAGCAGACACAGCTGAGTTAAGAGGCCAAAAATGTTGTAGAGGCAAACTGTGAGGCTAATTAGGTAGTATTTTACTCAAAATGCTCTTTTTCATCAAAGTGTTTGTTTAAATGCTTGTCATTCTTTTACTGTACCGGGAATTTCCACCTGCAGCAGCGAGAGGATCTTGAGGATGAAAATGGGGATCCAGCAGAGGGAGTCAGTAATGACGATAGAGAAGAATCTTTTGGCAATGGTCACCTCTTTTTTGATGTGGTTGCTATATTTAGTGGTCTGAGTGCCTGTTCTCTGGATGTTATAAAACATACTTGCATAGGAGAGGACAATGATGAGGAATGCCACCAGGTTAAGACCTATGGAAAGATTTCATACAAACAAGTTTAAATTTGCAGTACTTGAATGTACATGTATAATAAATCTTTGCATCCAGAGAAAATAAATAAATGCAAAACCCCCCACATATAAAACACATATACTAAATACAGAACCTGTACTTTTACAGTTACCTTTGGAGAAGAAGTAAAAACAAAAAAAAAAAACAAGTGAAAACATGAACAAAAATCTTCAAAGCACTGTTTCAAGAACAAATCCTCACCCAGGAAAATAACGACGGAGTAAACGTGAGCCCATAGAGTCTCTGGTTGTTCAGAGTGCAGTGGAAAGCAGACACCATTGGTCCCGTAAAAGTTGCGAAACAGCCCCTTGCAAACTAATGGGAGGAAGGCAATAATAAAACCAAACACCCATATCCCAAGAAGGATGGTGACAGTTCGTCGCCAGCCAGGAGTCAAGTACTGGAAAGGGTAGACTATGCAGATGTATTTCTCCAGCGTTAGATATGTGAGGAGCAGGACAGATACTTCAGTGGACAGCATGGCCAAAGAGCCAATGACCTGACACTGGCTGCTATCCATCCACGCCTGGGCATGCCGGTTGTACTCGCCTCGAAACTTTAGGTCATATGCACCGATCATGAAGAGGTAGATGCCCATCAACCCATCTGCACCTGCGAAGAAAAAGCAGCTGATTTACAAATTACTTATGAGATTTTGGTATAAGATTACATCCTGATATTTCTGGAGTATTTGGCTGAACATATACTGTAGCTATAACGATGTATTTGGGCTGCTTTGCTTCAGAAAATGTAGTTTCATTACTTTAGATTAATTAAGAAATGTGAGCACAATGTCAGTTGGACTTATTTTAACACCAAATAAACACTGCAGTGCTCTGAAAAAAAAGACAAGTTCAAAAATTGGTCAACATGAAAGGATTGAATCTGTAAGAAGGAGATTAATGATAACATGCTGACAGCAGCCACTCAACCTCGGAAATCCATGCATATTAAGAGGGACCAGGGATACTATAGGCTAACATCAGTCTTTCATGCGGTCTAAACTGTTATGAAAAGGAAATGAATGATATGATCAGTTTGAAATGGTGCAAAAATAGACCCATTAGCATTCTTGCTGAAACTCTTGAGGAAAAGGAGTAGCGGCTGGGCTCATTTTAACTTAGCATTAAGACTTTGAATAGGAAAAAAAAACTAGCTCTGTTCTGTTCAAGGGAAACAAAACTGACACATTAACTAGAGAACTCAAGGCAAAACTAATGAAAGAGAAACAGAATAATGTATGTTCAGTGTTTTAAACTAGAATGCTGATTTTATGTTCTTCTACTCAAAGAGGAAGGTTCTTCCGAGTTAAATTTTACTTGAGGGGAGAATGATTTATGATATCACAGCTAGTTAGAAGCCAGTTTTGAAGAAATCGACACACACTTTAAATGTTGCGTATTATTAAAGAACATGTAAGGGATACCCATTCATCCATCCATCCTGTTAACCGCAGTTTAGGGTCACAGGCGTGATGGAGCATACAACAGTGCTGCATATTTATAGATTCTGAACAAAAATGAAACAGCTGAGTTTTACACTTGAATTTCAAAACTTTTAAACATCTTATCTAAACCAAGAAATGTTCAAGGAGTTTGAGGATTAACATTTAAATGCAATCTAAATTCTGACATGTAAAATGGGGAAATATTTAATATTGCAGAGTATTCTTGGGTCTCTCAGTCTAATTTGAAAAAAATAGGTCATGTTATTCATGTTAAAAAAAGGTTCATTTCTTTCAGTTGTATCTTGTCACGATCCGCAGTGGCAGACTGAGTGGAGAGTGTGTGGAGGACTCAGACACAGGCGAAGACACGAAACGGAGTTCAAACGAAAAGCGAGCCTTTATTTTGGCTGATGACATGGCGGTCAAACAAGGCAGAAGCACAGTGACAATGACAGTATCTGTTCCATTAAAAAAACATTCAAATGTAATACAAGTGGATTTGATCTATTCATGAGAAACCTTTTCAAATACAGTAAATGAACTTGCAGACATTGCTCAAGATTTCCAGCAAAACACAACTAAGCACACTGCAGGTATCAGTGAGCAACATTTTAATAGAATGAAACACAGTATCAACTAATGGAGGTGTCCAAAGTCAAATTGATTTTATCCAAAGTAAAGAAGGGCTTTTTCTGTGTGAAATGATGATTAGAGTAAAACCTTTGAAGAGGTTATGACATTTTACATGCACTGGTAAAACTGCTTATTTACATTCAAAGCACGATCAAATGGAATTAGAGTGACCGGACTATAAGAAGATCAATAATAAGGCTCAGTAGACTGAGAGTTGGGGGAAAAAAATGAACACATACAGATTTTGCTATAGAAGAAAAAGCAAGACTCCAATCAGCATAAGTGCATTAGTATTAGTTCCTATAACAGTTGGGGGATATATTAACATTCACCAGCATTTCTCTGATTGGAAAAAGTGTTCTATTTGCAACAGCAACACTTCATTTATCAGAGACATCTTTTGGTTTTCCTGTTTTTAGAAAAGAATTTATTCAGCAGCAGAATAATGACCACAATACAAGCTTTCCGAGAGCTACGAAAGAAAAAACATCAACTGTCACTGATTTTGCTCTATAAGCCACCCACCTTCATCCCCATGGAACGTTTGTGGGGGCATTTGAAGACTAAGAAAACTTTCTCGATAAAACAAGAAACTTTTTGGGGATGTTGTGAGATGGTATAATATGGGATATGAAGTTTTGTACAAACCTGTAGATTCCAGGGTTCGAAATATTCATGTGATTACAAATGTAAATATAAGCTGCGGAGCCAATATTTTTTATGATAAAAAGTCTAAATAAATACAAACTATAGGTATCATCACTAGACCTACTAGAGTTTCTGAATCAGAATCAGAATACTTTGTTAATCCCAGAGGAAATTATGTGGTCACAGTTGCTCCAAGACAGTAAGAACAGTAACTAAATAAACTAAAGTAATTACTACAATCTATATTACAATATTATAAAATATAACAAAATACCTCTTATGCAAATAGCTCCAAATTATAAACATCCCAGTATATTACACAAATAAATTAGTTGACACTGAGGTGCCCTTCTTGTTAAGACTTTGACCCCTACTGTACAACATTTTTCTTTATATAAACGTTAGAAAAAGCAACATTTAAAGCCCAAACCTCAAATTTGTGTTGCTTAGTTAAGTTCGTTTTTCAGTGTGGAATTTGATTGTCACCCCTTGCGACAACTGATGAAAAATGCACTTCACAGCCTTCACTCAAGAAGAAGTGGGTCTCTTTGTTAGGTTGCCGTAATGAGCCCATTACAGCTTGCTGCAAGTAAGGTGAGGAGGACAATGCACTCAAAAACTTGTGCGTACCCCCTCGGGCAGAAATTCTTGAGAGCATGTAACTTTCTCTTCAAAACTAACAAACTAACAAAAGGTTATGTTTGTGAAGGTTCTCAGTCATCCAGGTCATCGTAGTCAAAGGAGCTTGCCTTTCCTGGACTGCGCTGTGCACATTGAAGAGAATGGCAACCACAACATCGAAGTTTACCGGAAGCCCACACACACGGACCAGTACTTCCTCTTTGACTCCCATCACCCTCTGGAACACAAACTTGGAGTAATTAGGACCCTACACCACCGGGCAGAACATGTTCCCTCTAAGCCTGAAGGGAAAAAGAAGGAACACACCCATGTAAAGGAAGCACTCAAAACATGCGGTTATCCTAATTGGGCGTTTATAAAGTCAGCAAAGATGCACAGAAAAGAAGATCAGACACCAGCGAGGGAGGATAAGAAGGACAGACTCAACAACATTGTCATCCCCTATGTAGCCGGTGTGTCAGAAAAACTCAGGAGAGTTTTCTCCAAGCATGACATCCCGGTGCATTTCAGACCCAGCAACACACTCAGACAAAAACTGGTTCACCCGAAAGACAAAACTCCTAAACACAGGTGTCATGGCGGACTGAGTGGACGCGTTTGGTGGTAGCTCCCTATCAGGAATTTAAAACACCGAAAACTCGTCAACAGACAATTCAATTGAGAAAAACGAATATAATTGGTGAGGAATAAGGCAAAAGGAGGCCAAAATGCCAAGGGGACATGATAAAGCCGCAAAAATAAATACCAACAACGCAACAGGACAAGACTGCACGAGCCCCGATGGCATAATTAGAGATTCGGCTGGCGAATTACTAAAAGCCATCGAATCATTGAAATCAGAAATGAAACAAGATAATGAAAGGCTGAGAGAAGGCATTAACACGCTACAGCGGGAATTGGGCGGTAAGCTCGACAAGATAAAGGAGGACATAAAACTCTGTCGAAGAGAGTGGGGGAAGCCGAGGATCGAGTGGGAAATATAGAAGATGTGACAATGGAGTTAATTGAAGCGCTCCTCCAAAGCTTGAAAACACAGAAATTTATTCAGAACAAGCTGGTGGACCTGGAGTCAAGATCCCGCAGAAATAATATACGCCTGGTCGGAGTGGAGGAAGGCTCCGAGGGGAGATCTGTCCAAGACTTTGTCTCGGAGCTGCTACAGCACGAGATACCTATACCAGCCGGGCTAGAACTTAAGATCCAGCGGGCCCATCGTATCTCTGTACAGAAACCGCGCCCTGGAGAATTCCCACGTCCGATTCTTATTAATTTCCAGGAATTCACAACGAAAGAACTCATACTTCGAGAAGTTTGGAAAAAGAAGCAAATCCAGGTGAATGGCAAGACGATCTACTTTGATCATGACTATGCATCAGATATTGTTCAAAAGCGCAAACAATACAGAGAAGTTAAGCGGATACTAAAGGAAGCGGGAGTGCGCTTCCAAACTCCCTACACGAGCATTCGGATCCACTGGCAGGACGGAGTCAGAAACTACGGTAACGTACGAGAGGCGGCTATGGAGATGCAGAGGAGGGGATACGATGTCCAGATCCGGCGGCATCTGAGGAGGACGATGCGCTAAGCAGAAGGTGTCGAGAGTGGAAACGGGCCTCAATCTCCCATCGAGAGCAAATTTCTTCCCCGAGGCAGAGAGTTAAAAAAAAATTGGAGGAATTTCAGAGAAATGCTGATTAGTTCGGGGATATCTTCCCCTGTTACTGATCAGAAAATTATAGGCCTCTCAAATTCAAAGTTCTGGAGGAGCAACACCGGATGGAGGTAAATACGTTGGACTATAATTTGGGAACTACTTCTTCAGTTCTCAAATATTTCATAGGGCCCTCCTTTACGGAGGTTTTTTACCCTAGATCTACCAACGGGGTCATGGTGGGAGACAGTTTCTTCCTACTAATTGGGAGTCGCAAGTTTGTGTTTAATTTTTGTTTAATGTCTAGTAATATTGTTTTATTTTATTTTCTTAAACTAGAGGGGATGATCATTGCACACTGTACGAATCATGAGTGGTGTAGGTAAAATAAAAATTATTTCAATCAACATCAATGGTCTGGGGAATCCAGTTAAAAGGAGTAGATTGCTATCTAAATTGAAACGACACAAGGCACAGATTATATTCATTCAAGAAACTCATATGTCAAAAGAAGAACATGAAAATTTAAAAAGCTTGGCTATGTAAATTCTTTTTATAGCTCATGTAAGAATAGCAGACGAAGAGGAGTTA